AAAGGATCAGGTCAGAAAGGCACTCGACGACTTCTTCAAGTCCCAGCCCCCGTCGTTCTGGAAGGAAGGAATCGACAAGCTGCTGAGCGCTGGCGTCGAGTAGTGGATGGTGATGATGCATACCTCTAATCTTCAGGTTGGTTCGCTATTGAGATATTTACGAAAAAAGTCGTGTATAAGAACTTATGCGACAACCTAATACTTTGCACTGGGACTGCGCTCTTTTTCTGCTGCTTTGTTTAAGCTTCTGTCCTCCAATATCACAGGACTATCATAATGGTATCGAGTTATAGGGGCTATGGAGAATTGGGGACTGGTTACGTACCGTGAAGTCGCTCTCCTAGTTGATCCGACTAAATCATCAACTCGTCAGAAAGCACGCGTCGCTCTTGTCGTAGCGCACGAGCTGGCTCACTTCTGGTTTGGAAACCTTGTAACCATGGTAAGTACCCAGTCTTCACCTCATTTACGAGTCATATCAAAGTTTCAAATTTGGTATCTATATCGCCAGTCTATCAGAATCCAGGCTAGATCTCTATCAAACTTTTTTCGGGGTAGATTCGGCTGGTCTTGGGTGCTGTCTGACCTTCCGAACGGGAATACGTGAGCTTAGCGAGGTACAGCCATGTCATGCTCTGGAGCGACAAATCCACGACCCGCTCTAAGGTGGGGGGAGGGGGTTATAAGGTCGCGTTTTCTGGCATTGATTAAGCTCGTCGGACAATTCACCCCAGTGGTAAAAGATTGCAGAAAAGCAAACATGACTTGCACTTCTGGCTTCTCACATTCAGCTCGCTGGAGAGCAGCTCTGGCGTCAACGGAGGGAGGGTGGACAGTGTAGGGTGCCGACTCCCTGAGCAGCGACGGTTCCAGTCGCCGCTCCTCTTCTGAGTTACCGGGAGCTAAGGGTGGGTCACTAAATCCGTGAGAGGAAGAACGTACACAACCAGAGTCGCCGTGATCGTCCTAATCTCAAAGCATAGCCCTCTCCAACTGTACTAGCGCCTGTCCCCTGACCAAGCAGTTCTCAATGTTTGATCTTTCAGAAATGGTGGACAGATCTTTGGCTCAAGGAAGGATTTGCAACATTCATGGAATACCTATTTGTCGGTTACAACTGCCCAGGAATTCAAGATCTGGGAGCTTTTTGTTAACGACGAGCTGGCTCGAGGCTTCGATCTTGATTCACTTCGCAACAGCCATCCCATAGAGGTTCTATGCTGTTTTTATTTGTTTTAGTAGGGCTTGGGGTGCTCTACAGAAAGCGAGGCTAAAACATAGAACTGCAAGTATTATAAAACGGGCAGGTAGAGCAAACCGAAAAGAAGCAAGTTCAAATGAACTATTGATTTCACAATCATGATCCCTGCGAGAGATAGGTGTGTGACGTGACGGGAGCCTGGTTTGGAACGTTGTCTCTTCCGCCAATGATGGCTGAACCCGTAACGATTGGCGGGACCAGCTGTTTTGGCTGCGATCCAACTCACGCCCCTTTTCACACCCTATCATTTGCAAGGACCATGACTATATGCAGAGATAAGTCATCACGGCTCATATGATCAAAAAACTCACGATACCTTCTTAAACAAAATATCCTAAAAAGGTCAGCCTTCTGCTCATTTTCACCTGTAAAAGTGTTCTTCAGGTTGAAATAGATAATCCTTGCGAGCTGGAAGAGATCTATGACAGCATCACCTATGCGAAATCGAGCGCTATTAATCGCATGTTGTTCTACTATCTTGGCGAGCCAACTTCCAAGCTGGTTTACGGCTTTACTTGAAGAAATTCCAGTATGATAACGCTGTCACCCTCGATCTATGGGAAGCATTAGGAGAAGCTTCTCAACAGGTTTGGAAATGTGTTCGCCAGGTTCCTGGTGCTGATGTAGCACAGGTCTGTTACCTCTTAGCGATTAATGGATGACATGCCCTTTAACAGGTTTTGGAGAGGAAACATGTGTTTTAATATTGTTGGTGACGTCACATAACACATCAGTTACGTGTTATGTAACGTCAATGACGCGTCATCTGTCTTCTAACAGTGACCTGAGTTGCAACAGCACCCCCTTCCGATTTTTCTGTCCAAATGGTACGTATTTCCAGAACGTTGTAAAACTTATGTCTGGTTGGACAAAGCAGATGGGATATCCGGTTATCACCGTCAGTGACAGGCAGCAAGGGGATCGAAGAATTCTATTTCTTTCTCAGAGAAGATTCTTAGCTGATGGGGGTGAAGATCCCGCAAACTCCACTTGGCAGGTGAGCAAGGGCTTATCCTTGTCGCCTTTCTTGGGAGCTCCTGAACTGTTCTAACGCTGTCTTTTTAAGGTGCCAGTGACTGTATGTGTGGGATCGAAACCTTCTGAAGTAAAAGGCAAATATCTCCTGGTTGAACGTGAACAACAAATCGAAGTGCCGATGGTAAGGGAAGGAGAGTGGGTCAAGGTGAGCCTTATTCTCTGCTACATGGGTTGTAGCTTTCACACCTAAGGGGGAAGTTGGATTAGCTCCCGAGTCAGGTGTGCTATACACTCCTCCA